GACAAAATAATTTCATTGTGAAAAAATGATTCCATTTTGAAAAAAATAACGTGTTAACGGCTTTTATGAATTCTGAAAAGTTATTGTTGTCAGTTGTTAAATAAATTGATGGTAAATAATGCAAAACACCACTGCTGGCAATACTTTCATGGTGGATCTTGTAAAACATACAATACTACATTATACATACATTACAGCATAGAATTGCGAGGGTATTGTATGTATATGTTCAAGATGACACAATTTACACAATGATTGTTATTTTTGCTCGGCAAACACTCTTCGTACATATCAAGCTTTTAATCTCAAAATTTCCAAATAAGTCAACTCTTGATGGCACGCACTAATGCATCTACACGTCAGTTCCAATTAATATTTGAAACATGTCCCGATCATTTGAGTCCACGGTGCAGCATTGAATAACGATATCTTCACAAATATATTTTGTATTTACACCACGCACTTTGATATCGATCTGTGTTTTACACGTATTATTCGTGTAATCACAGTTGTGTGTGACCAAAATATATTACACGCAAAGAACGGAACGTACAAAGGATAATAAAGACATGACCCTGCATTTACCTGCACGTTATAAAATTCCAATCAACAGCAACTGACTAACTTAAACAGAATAATTACAATAACAATTGAATACTATACAGTACTCTGTACAGTGCAATATCTACCTCGAACGTGTACCTGACACAAAATTAGTCTTCACTTTATTCAAGATAGGAGATTATGCCACGTGTTTTATCCACATATAAGTTTCACTTAAATAGAATAAACAACACATTGTCGAACAAACATATAAGGAATGCACAATTGCTTAATTTAAGTACAAACGATATTTTGAGTAGTTTATCAAAGAATACGTTCTTTAAATAACGTATTAATAGCTTTGAAGGATTAGAAGTATTAAATTTATCCCTTAGATATGCTTCTGATGTTTTCAATTGTTCAAAATTGACAGAAGGCGAATTATTCTTTTCACGGTGACAGATTAAAAGAACTTTTATCCCAACGGATTAGTTTTTCTCTAATAGACTAATAAATATGACGTACTTCGTGTCTGAATGTTTAATTTTAATACTCACTGTACATAATATAAAATGACATGAATTTAACTATGTACAAACCGCGTCAACATAATATGCGTTCTATGACAGTTTAATATTGAAAGAAATAGTGTTATACTCATTATATATATATTTATCAATGTGTCCTAATTCAGAATAATCAGTTTATCAAATAAAAATGGCGCTCCGTGCATTCAAACCTCTTGCGAGAAACAAACGAAATTGTAATTGAATTCAATACTATATGGAGACAAATTTCAGATAGTATTTATTCACGCGAAAATGATTTTTTTATTTACGCTAAAACTAACTCTTATTTTTTAAGAGTGCCCACGTCATTCTGTTTATTTTCATCGTGTAATTTACACGACCACGACTGCCCAAGATAGTGTACAGTTACTGTTACTAGTTGCCGATATAAATAACGCATAACTTTGGTGACATTTACAGATAACCGAACGAGTTAAATTATAGTATTGAAATACGTCAATATATATCTTTTTATGTATCAGGAGTAACTGCAAGCATTACTAACCTTGGATATAACAATTCCGTTGGTATCGCTGTTAGTGAGTCAGTACATTGCGTGCTGCGTGTCAATCTGATAATAAAGGTATAAATACTAACTCCCAAGAGGTAATCTGGGTAAATCGCTATTCCACGAAAGATGGTGACTTGACCTGTGTATAAAGTAGTCCACGATCATGATTTTACGATCTTATCCTCCTTTAACATTTATTTTGTTATCTTGTTTGACACTTATCTTCATCAGAATATATTTTGTATAACCCCTTGGCGCGTGCCAGTTAATAGGAACTGTGTCATTTCATTTACATTCCAAAGTCTAAACATTAAATTTTGGTTTGATATAAAGTATTATGTTATTGTTCATCCATCATTAAGAGTATTCTTGGGTTTTGAAAAAAATCAAGAATTGAATATTTATATTCATCATCATGCGCAAGTACATTGCAGTGTACATGCATATATGTTATATCAATGGAATGGCAGCAAATAACGCTTCATACGTGATAGAGTAGATTACACTAGAACATTCCTCTTCACATGTAAATGACTGGATTAATTATTCACAAGTCATTGATTGATCGTATCCATTATCCCGATTTGCCCCGTCAACGTCAAGTGTTCCATGAAATGCCCGAGTGTCTTTCAGCTAACGACCGTATCTCTAGCTCAGAAAGAAACCGGGATAACAGCTGCAGAATCGTCTCTTCCACAAACTAGTAAATAAAACCGTGTATTATAAAGCAAATCCTACGATATCACACCGTTTAACTCGTGGTCTTAAAATTTCGAGTTCACCACTGATTACAATGATATGTAATAATAATGTGTACGTGATAACAAGATGATAAGAAGGAGATTTGTGCAAGGAGATAAATAGTATAAAAATAATATATCGTTACGGATATGAGCCAAATCTAAAAAAAAAATTCAAGCGATGAAATATGGAAAGGTTACAGTCATAAGGCCACGTGTTCTTTAGATGAAATACGATACAGATCAAGAATGACCTTCAACACGGTTTATGTGAATTATTCATTTACGAAAAATAACTCTATTTTGTAATGTGAATAACATAGGAGAATGTTATCAGGAGGCTTAGGTTGCAATAATAAATCAACCGAATGCGTATGCACAATTCGATAATTGATGATGAATGTTTGAAAGGTTCGACGTTCGCTATTCTATTCGTCCAGTTACCATTCAGACTCAGAGAAACTGGTATCAACGTTTGGATTTAGGTGCCACATAAAACAACATGTGTATCGTATCCATACAATGTATAATCCGTATAATGCATTTATTTATTATCATGTGTATGCATTTGCTACTGACTCACATGACATATGCATGTTAGAAGCCACTTCAATCACCGTTATTTATCAAGTTAAATTTCCTGCGATTAAATATTGATGACATATTGTTCCCACAGTAAATAACTGCCATAGTATGTTGGACCGTCACATGACTACAGTTACGTGGATTTTGAACTGTTCATCACCTATCATTCTAAGTTAAAAAAAATAATTCGGGTGGTACCTTATCTATGTTAAAATATTTGCGCAGGAGGCTATTTTTTCAATAAACCATAATATGAGTTATGCCCTCTTGTGACGTCACAATTATATATAATAATGTTAATCAATTGATATTAGTTCAAAATCAAAGCTTTGGCTGCTGGTTGTAGTCAGTCATTGTCCATTTAGAATATAGAACATTTCTTTTATTAACAGGCGACTAAAGTTTGAAACAACGAAGCTGCACGAACAACCTATTATCCATTCATGTCACAGAAAAGTTCCTTACTGGATGGCGCGTCTTATAAAAAAGTTTTACTGATATAAATATACTCGTCATTTTATTTTTAAAAAAATGACTGATTGGAATTCGATTCGTAATCATGAATAAATTATCATGAACAAAGTAGACCACTTAGCGATTCGTTTAAATTACACTACTATATATACGAATCCAACGACATACTGTGTTCGTCATTTAATATGTTAATATCCACAAACACACACTGCCTAACACAATTTAAAAATCATTAGTAAAGAGTGTTCTTGTGTGTAAATAAAGTTCAATCATCATATCGGTGCTTGCATTGCATTGGTTTGATTCATGTGTATTTATGTATCAGTGATCGATGATCAGTAAACAGCGAGGATGCCCATTGGAAACGAATTTTATTATTTATAAAACATTTCATAAATAATGTATGACGTGTTTCAGATGTCCATGCTAGTCAAAGTACATTATGCCAAGTGAAAATGCAATACTTAGATGGCTGGTTAGAAGCTTGCGTGTCTATACAAATCACAAGGACATATGACAGGGTGCTGTACATTTTATGTTTGGTAGAACATGGCCATACTGCTCAAGCTATAATAGCTATAATTAAATGTATAGCACGTATTTAGTGAAATATATACATATTATAGCGGGGGTAACATGGTGATCTACCATGTGAAACAAAAATTTATTATAAAAGGTAGCGTTTATATTAAAATTACAAATATAATTTTAACTTTACCCTTTTTTGGTTAATCACGTGCCAACGTAATATTGTAATAGTAGAAAATATACCTAGATTTGATAAACACACCTTGACATTCATTATGATGAATAATCCAAACTGTT